ATAATCTTTATCATTATTATAATGTACTAACCAATAGATGATGCCTTTTCAGATTGAGAAACTGAAGCAAGACTAAAATCTCCAACTATGCTCAGTCAATAAATAGCAATAATAATATTAGGTAAAAAAAACTTACCAATAGCTACAGCTTTCTCAGATTGAGAAACAGTAGGCAGACCAGGGTCCCCATCTAATCAGTTAATTATGATAAAAATAATATCAATAAAAATAATAATTACTGATAGCTGTAGCTTTCTCAGATTGAGAAACAGTAGGCAGACCAGGGTCCCCATCTAATCAGTAAAATAATAACGATAAAAAATATCAATGAAATAATACTTACTGATAGCTGTAGCTTTCTTAGATTGAGAAACTATAGGCGTAACATTAGAAATATTTGTTTCAGCAAATGATGTATTCATCTCATTCTCATCATCACTGCTACTAATAGAGATATCATTGAATAATACACCATCTTTTTCAGCTACATACATTTAAGTACAAACATGAGCAGCATCATAAATTTAAAAAAACAAAACATACCAGTTAATTGTGACACAAATCAATCTGTCATTCTCCCACTTACTAACAATGTACTTCAGAACTTTCATTTTATGTTGAAAATCCTACCCAGTATGCTCAGATGCCAAAGAAGCAAGTTTTGTAGTTGTTTTTGACAGAAGGTGATACTTTTCTGCCTATATAGAATTAATGTAGCATCAATGCAGAGAAATTCAGGATAGGATGCAAATATTTCCTTCAACTCCTTATCTTGGAAATATATCCCACTAAAGGTTTCTTCTGTTACTAAAACCTCAACACATGCTTCTGTGTAAAAGTACCATAATAATAAGTCAAATCTGAAAGCCTTGATAAGTTTTATTTACCATATTTATCTCTAAACATCTTGACAGAAATTTCCAAGTCATTACGACTGTCATCAGAGCTTCGTCTGAATCGTCTCATCAGGTTAGTTAGATCTTTCAATAGTACTTGCTTGCCACTTTGTATAGCAATATGATTTTGAACCATTTTCTTATTAGCTCTTAAAGATAACAATTTTTTAGTTTCATTCCTTTCCTCAAGAGTGAGCTTTCTTTCCTGTGGAAGCCTCTTAAAAGATTCCTATGAATTAAAATAAAAATCATTTATCATCAATATTTAACCCTTATATCAAGAGTAGATTACGTATCTACTCTTGCTCAAATTTGCAATCCTTTCAAAAAGTCCTACATAGGGGCAAACATGAATTATAATTTGCACAACATGACAATTTGGTTACCAAAACAACATGCATGTGCAGCCGCTTACTGTGTGTTTCTTATTCCTTCTCCTCTAAGTTTAAAACGTCTGCCACCATGTATACAGGAATAAATGAGACTATAGTACTATATGGTTTTGCATAACACTCTATCCAGCCTCTTCTGGGCTGTCTCTACTGTCTTTGAATCCCTTTTCCATAGTTTCACGTAATGCTTTCTCTCATACTGCTTTATCTTTCTTTCAAAATCTTCAAAAGAGTGAAACTTATCTCCAATCTTAAAATCTGGCTCAGAACAACCATCACTCAGAGGCCTTCAACAGTCAGAGTGTCAGCAGTTGCAGTCATGCCAGCGGCCATTGTTACTATTGCAATGAAGAGGCGCTTTAAGGGCGTTGCTTTCTGGTCGGCTCTTTAATCATTATATCGAGGTTGTCCCTAAAAAGCGGACTGGACCGGACCCGAAAAGACTAATTTACGGACCGAGCGACGGACCCGATACAAACTAATTTAAAGACCCGACCAAGGGACCCGAAAAGACTAAAGTAC